GAAGTGTTGAGGGATTTGTACAAAAACGCCACAATTTCGGTCCGCCTCCAGGATCGGGATTCGAAACCTATCCAGTTGCAGCGAGGGGTAAGACAGGGAGATGTCATATCTCCAAAACTGTTTACCACCGCCCTGGAATACCACCTGAAAAGAATACAGTCAGTATTCGCTCATCGTACATACGAAAAGATGGCAACAGTTTTGTATCAGGTTGTTGCATTTTTAAACGTCTGACCATTACGAGTATGTCCTTTTGATTACAATAATTCTTAAAATACATATAAACTTGTGTCATTCTATAATTAGGGACACACCGATTGTTGCTTACTGTTCCAAAAGACGTATAGATACATACCTTGTCACGCTGGCAATACACGCATAAGCTGATAAATGAACTCATGCGGCTCTAAAATTTATCACGATAACTACGATAACGATTCACTGAAGAGAGAGACAGAATTTAAAATGGATCTTGTACTCATAAAGACCGATAATTTTACCACGTGGTAAGTAATCATTACGACGAATTTTTGATAAACACACAGTCTTACAGTTTATTTAGTGCAAAAAGTAGTGGATTGGATACTTAAATGACTGAAATTAAGTTAATTTGTGCTTTGTTAATGACTTAATTACATCTAAATAAATGTATCAATATCGCCAAAAGTTTCGCAAAATATTAGCAACTAGAGTTGCACAAAGATATCTACGTAGAAAATAACGTATCAATTGTTATGTATTATAATGCGAATAAAAGCTTCGTGGAAGAATTAGGCATCTAGACTTGCACAAAATTACCAGCATAATGTGCACAAAAGTTTCGTGGAAAAACTACGCAACTGAACTTGCACTACGATACCCACCAAATAATATCCTAGAATAAGTATGCAACAATAGATACGCGAAAATGTTTTTTAAAGTCTTCGTGGAAGATGTACATACGTAACTATTAATATGCTATTATTCATACGGAAATTTATTAAACAATTAAATGCAAATATATTTACTTCGTTTTTCTAATGGAAATTTAGATATTTTAATGTTGCAATATTTTACATATTTGCACATAATTTCTTCATTTTTAAGAGTAAAAATATGAAAAAAATTGACAATATGTATTACCTCCTTCTCGATTTTTTAGTGCAATAAAAAAAATATCGCACAAGTGGACTTGCATACTTCTTCCAGGGGGGGTGCGATATTAGTGTTTGTGATACGGGCGTTAACGTCTCTATTTCGTACCTCACTTGTTACAACGAATATTGTTCAGAGGCTAAATCCCAAAATGCAAGAGCATTATTTCATTTGTATTCTAAAAGAAATCACCCTACATTTTCCGCGATACAAACGGAATAACTTGTTACTGTATTAGAACAACCATAATTTGCTAGCAAATAATCCGCTTATTCTGGTAAGTTTTCCAAATCAGTGAGCCGGATAAACTAGGTAAGCATTATGTGCACAAGGAGAAAATAAAGAACGCAACGCGCGTGTGTAACATAATATTTCTTGCGCCTGCGGACATTTGTTATCTGTACCTCTAGTAGGAAAAACTTTCGAGTTCGTTTCGTTGCGTATTCAAAGTGTCATCGAAAAATTTTGTATGAAAAATTAAACAGCGCCCTCTATATTATAGCCGCCCTAGGGGGCGCTGTTTAATTTTTCATACAAAATTTTTCGATGACACTTTGAATACGCAACGAAACGAACTCGAAAGTTTTTCCTACTAGAGGTACTGTACAGACGGCATATCAAGCTGTACACTGTGGCATCTTATTTTCTTAATATTAAATGCTATTTTGCAAAAGTATAGACTGTCCACACGTGCTATTGCATATTATGGACGGACACACGATATATCTCACAAATGTTATAGGGAATTTAATCCAATTATTTTCTGTGTTGTCGTCGGGATACGATTTCCTTGTTTGGCATATTTTTGTCTTAGTTGCGGGGATTATGCTTTGTCGTAGTTTTGTTTTCTTTTTGAATATTGATGGCTCTTTTATCCATTTACAAATTGAACTAATTGTAATATCTGAAATCGATATGAGATGGCATTTGCTGTTTACATTAAGCATGTAAAGAATTTACGTAGTTGAACGTTTCGATCGCCAAAAATGATGTAGTGGTACCGGTTGCGGCGGCGGGCGATAGGGATGATTTTACCTTTCGCTCGAAATATTAAGCGTCAGAATTTCCAATTACATTGAAATTTTAATTCATTCATCACCTACACAATAACCGTTCGAATGATTTTTCGCTGCTATTTGATTAGATCGCAGAACAATCCCATCCATCGCGTCACCACAAAAGGTCGCTGCCACGTCGGCCACTCTATTCCCCGTTCCGCTGTCCAGAAATTTTCGCAATAAAATTAATCGTTCCAATAAAACCGGCCCGAATAGATCCACCCATGCATGAACACTTTTTAATTGGGTCCCACTTTTTGCTCTTTTCGTAGGCATCCAAACGAGAAATCGAAGTTAAAGTTCTCCATCTAGTTGCAGAACTTAGACCTGACCCAGATAGTATTTACTCTGCGGACAATATCAGCGGTGAAGTTTTAAAACCGTAGTGTAGTTTCTTAAAGAATTAGCCGCGCGCGTCCCGGTAAGGCTCGACTATTTATTTACAAACTTGCGCGACCACCGTTTGCTTTAAATTGATGGGACCGATGCCGTTGAGTTTTAATTTAACTCCACTGAATTACTGGCCTTAAAATATCGGCGTACTCAATCAAAGTGAGCAATTTGTTGCGTGTAAACGCAGCTCCCGACGGGTTGCATAAAAATCAGACAAAAAACATGGAATAACCGAACAAACGAAAATATATCTCCCCATTTTCATTTTCGACAAGCAATCGCGTTTAATGGGTTGAGCCGGATTCCCACTTGACTTTGTTCGATTTGTTTCATTTGATCGCTCCGTCGATTCATGGCGAGGTGTGGCGTAATGGCGTTGTAATAAAAATGCCATGTTTTTGGAATCCGTAACCACGAATGCTCATTTGATTAATTTTATGATGTCTTTAATTTTCTTCGAAATATTGACAATTGCTTATGTTGTTCTATTCCAAATCAACTAATTAACACAATTCCTGGTATAACTGGCACATTGACAGTTTCAGAATGGGAAATGATGTCAAAATGACAAGTTTATTTTGAGATTAATATTTACTCTTGTTTGGTCGAATCCACCCTTAATCGGGTGGATTCGACCAAACAAGTTAACTTTCCAAACGACTATTTAAGCTGTGTTACCATCGTCACCATCTTACTTTAACTTTAACAAACGTCAAAAATGTTTCAAACGCCATACAAAAACACTGGTTATCTATAAAGATACGGTTAAAGTTAGGTTGTGCAACTCAACTTAAGTTTATTTCTAGCTATAATAATCGGGCAGAATCCATCAGCTGGAGTATTAATAGCCTGACTGAAAAACTGACGCCCGTATTCACAAACATTACTATGAGGTCTCACAGTGCGCGTGGACGCACAGGGTCACACACGAACCAATCACAGAGCACTATTCAACGCTGTGCATTTGATTTTCTGCTTTACATAAGCCATCGTGTGTAAAAAATCATGAAATTACTTACCTTACTCTCATTATGAGACTGTCGTTAAGATTCTCAAATAGTTAGATCAAAGCACTTTGATATCATCATAATTGCTTATATAAGACTGACTGCTAAGGATACGTTAATAATTTACTACAGTAATCAAACGGCTGACACGGTTAATACGAGTCTATCTCCTTGTTTAAGTCACGTTCAAACTATACGGAATAAGCATGCTTGTTATTTTGTTACAAAATCAACGGGGCACCAGAAACGAGGAAAATTGTTGAAGAGGAAAGTTAGAGATATGAAATAATATGAACGTTTTATGGCTTCAGAGTAGTAATGAGATAGGTAGATCTGATTTGACTTGTTGAGGTAGTGAAGAGGTAGCGGTACGAGGTTGTTTTGTTTTTAGTGGGTCCCATTATAACTGGAATGGACACAATACACCAGCTTATGCTACGATGTTGCATCCAACTACGACTACGATACGATACGATACTACGACTAGTCATCGTCTGCGCGGCTACATGGCATCAACGAGGTGTCGACGCGGCGAATCAACTCTCTTAGAGGTAAATAACGCGACGCCAGCGCTGTGTAGATAATGCGTTCTGCAGCCTTAGTATTCACAGTATGAAAAGTCACTATAGGGGCCTACACTAGGGCAGTTAGAGATAAGTGGTCAGTTCCTCTGTGGTTGAGGATTCCGGGTGAAGCTCGCTTCCACCTTCGGCCTGATCATCACTTACCATCAGGTGAGATACAGGCCAAGAGCTTCCTCGTTGTGGATAAAAAAAAACTATAACTCGCTCAGGGGCACGGAGCACCAGCATGCATAGCTCATACTAATTTTCGACACAGAACCGTATACGGACGCCCGCGCTAGTTTATGCCGAGGCCCTAAGGCTTCTAATGCTCTGTATTATAACCACCACTCACGAAATTCTACGAAATAGTATCTTGTTAGCGACATGTCGAAGGTATTTCATAGAAACCAGACGTTGCAGAGACATGTCTGTTGCTGCTGCTGCTGCTTGCAGGTCAAACTAAAATTGCCATCTTATACAATGGTAATACGGTCTATATTGCAACTTACCCAAGTCCTCAGCATCCTCGCTCCACTCGCCCTCTTGCGCCCAGGCCACACTGTACCGAGCCACTGTTACATCATGACGTCACCACTAATCCAAGAACTTTAAGTTATGCTTTCATAGCAGACGACACGTGCCGTTGTCGCGACACTAGTGCTAGTTTCTAAGAACATTTTCTATGAAAATTAACCTAACTTTAGCAAAGGTATTTAATGGAAACCAGACGTCGCGTCGCGGTGACACGTCACCAGCTGCTGCTGCTTGCAGGTACAGACGACAGCACGTCAAACTAAAATTGCCTCTTATACACAGGTGATACGGTCTATTTCGCAACTCACCCAAGTCCTCAGCATCCTCGCTCCACTCGCCCTCTTGCGCCCAGACCGCCGCCAGCATCAGCATCAGCCGCCACTTGACCGACCACATTGTACCGAGCCACTGTTACATCATGACGTCACCACTCACTGCGCAGTGTGCCACACTACACTAACTCGCACTGATTTGCATTGTTGTTCAGGTTAATGAAAGCTGCAAATAATGCTAATTGTTTTAATTGACAACTTTTTTATTGTTATATTTTTCAACAATCAATCCTACTATCCTACTAAATCATATTTATTGTTACAATTTAGTTTCTTATTTTGTTACCTATGGCTATGTAGGTGCTAAAATATAAACTCCCTATGCCTCTTAAAATTTTTAAAATAATCCCGAAAATAGTTAACTGCAAACGGTTGTTCCCATTGACCATTATTCATAAATTTCATAATACAATAATTAATCGTGTATGTTGCTTTAATCGGATCAACCTTGACATTGCTGATAGTATACCATACGTCTTATCTTCATAACGACTATCCACGCAACAATATCCAATAAGCTGGCCGAGCTAACCAGCTGCGAATGCACGCGAGCAATGCTCGCGAGCGAACGTTGATAATTATTCTTTTATTTCATTCAATTCAAAGGGGGCAAATCATCTTCAATTACCTATTTTATTTATCATACGCTACTTCTTTCATTTCTTTCTCCACTGAATGACAGAGCCCTTGCCGTCGAGGGTTACCGGTATCCCTACCGTGTAGCAATTTGAAAAACTGTCGAGTCCGCATTTATGCTAAGAACAAGCAAAATATACTGGGCTATATTATATAACCCTGAGATTATTTTTGTGTCCTCTTTTTGTCCTTTGAAGGGGTTTGAAGACATAAGCGAGGAAAGGGGATAATAACTAAGATGGGAATTGTCCTTGCTTAATCTTTGTTATAGTTTTTAAATAGAAACACTTTCATCTTGGGTCTTTTGGCGTATTATTACAATTTCCATAGAATATTAATTATTATCTAGATGAAGTAAAGTTTTAAAATGCTAAAGTGGATTTCACTATTCATATTTCGTAGGTATATAAACGAGTTTAATTCCACTTACGAGATTTTGTAATTTAGTTGATGGCTTTCCTGCTGTCGCAACAGAAAATGAATACGTTAGTAATTTATGTATTTATGTATATGTTTAGTTCATAGTTAGTTACTTTAACCACAGCTTTAACGTTCTTTTTAGTTATAATCTCATGTCTTATACCCGAGTTTGTTGTGTAAAAATTTATTTTTTATATCTCGAAAAGAACAATAGAAATTAGAAATTGTTATTTAAATAAGCAAAGTAGAACATTATAGTCATAAAACGTGCGATAAGATACTTGTATAAAATGAAAGCAAGAGCATCCCTTAGAGAATTGTTTAAAGAAATTGGCATTCTCACGGCCGCTTCACAATACATCTTAAACTGTATTCTATTTATTCAAAAAAATATTACTGAATTCAAAAAGAAAAGTGATATTCACCAAATTAACACTAGAAATAAAAATAAATTGGCTATACCCGCTTTTAGACTTAATAAAGTGTTTGCTACTTTTATGGGACAAGGTATCCATTTTTATAACAAAGTCCCTGATAAATATAAAGAGCTACCGTATAATAAATTTAAAGATATAGTTAAAGATCACATGCTTAAAAAAGCCTATTATACAACTCGAGATTTTCTTAATGATAAGTCATCCTGGGAGTAGGATTATGGTCCTCTCATGCTCGCACTAAAAAGAATTAAAATGAAAAGTAATGTATAAACTAATAATAATTTCTCAAATGTTATAGTGTCATGCTTCTCAATCTGGACTGTTACTTAGCTTTATTATTAGTTTTTTTTTTTAAAGAGATAACTTGGAATTGTCATTCTCACTAAAATGTCTCTGGGGTGGTGGCGTAGTGAGGCGGGTCGTTACATTCCCTCTAATATGGTCGAGTGAAGCGATGGCTGGTTCACTCGTCATGTCTGTGAACAGGCGCTGCTTTCGGGGACTGGTCAATCCAAGTTATTCAAATTTATGTATGCGAGTCATTTCTACTAGTATCTTAATATGTAAGTCTAGAAATTAGCACGTCACTACCTTGTTTAATATACCACGCAATCTTGTATACCCTTTCTTATAAGATACACCATACAAGAATGCATGGTAAATTCAGTGAACTGCTCCTGAATCGAATGTACCTACTACTACTATTTCTATTTATTTATATTAACCGGCAGACAGTGGTGACTGAGTTTGTTGCGGCGCTTCTTCTCAGCACTTGCCAAATGTTGGTCTCGAAGCGCTGGTAGGGTAAAAAGATTATGAGACATGTAGAGGCTCCTTAAGAGCAAAATGACGATTTGTAAGAACTATTTATTAGTCCAAACAAATAAAGAAATTTTGACTTTGACTTTGACTTATAGTTGAAGTATACATTCCTTATGCTAATGTTTGCTTTTGTTTTATCGCGATTTCTTCATAGAATTTAAAGTAGCTCATTAAATTCACAGCTTTCAGTAATAAACATTATTTCACATTAACTGTCTGGCTGTCAAATAATTTATGCTTAATTATTAGTTTAGTAAATTACAACTGTCTACAGCATTTTTGCGCACGGGTTATGCATAGCTTATTTTTATTGCTTTAATACCTAGAAATAAGAATAACAACAAAAAATTGTTCTGAATTTGCTTTTATGTGTAAAAAATAGAAAAATTCATATCAATGAATGTATGAAACATGAACATAGAGATGACTTAATTTGTTGCCAAATATATTTTTTTCTTTCTTTCTTTCATTCTTTCTAATTATTAAAGCATACCAAACATCCATTTAAGATTCATTCTCACAAGAGAAAATTTAAAATAGAGTCCAAATATTTATTAAAAATGAAAAGTTCTAATTTCCTGTCATGTTCCATAGAAGATTTTTCTCATAAAAATCTAACCCTATCATGCTTTCAGTATACTGGCCTTGGTAACGTCGTCTCTCAAATACCACTATATTTTGATGAAAGCGTGCCCCTTGTTCTTGCCAATAAGCCCCCATAATTATCTTTAAGTATATCCCAATGAGAATGTGACGTGCATCTTTAGAGACATTCTACTATGAAGATGGAAAATTCAAATCGCTATAACTTCTTAAAAAGCAAATATTTTCGATTTGTAATCGCACTTTTTTATATATATTTGCTTACATAATCAGAATATAATAAGTAAAATACATGCTCAAAAAAAATTTTTTTTTTGTTGACCGGTGTTATGGTTTGGAGATCTAGGTTTGCTTTATAACGTTGGAATTCTAGACTTAATTAAATTAATATTCACGTACCTATAACATTCAAGTGCAATTAGGCTCTTAATAAAAAGAGAAGAAAAAAACCAATCAATCATTTACATGGTTAAAAAAAATCAACGTTTTGTTTCTTTTCAGCCCAAAGACGTCGTCCACTTCTGGACAAAGGATTTCTATCAAAAATCATATTATCATAAAAATGTCTTTTATTTCTTCTTGCTACTTTTTGGCCAAAACGTGTTAAAATAAACAAGCGAATAACAAAGAAACTAACGCATAAAAGAAAAAATCATGCCCTAAACGATAAAACCAACAACCCTAAAGTTGGGAAAACTATCCGACCTCTTACAAATCATTTGCAACCCGATTATCATACAAATACATGTTACAGTCGCGTAAATCGAAAAAAATCTAAGAAATATGAGATCCAGAAGTTAGAGAGTGAAGTATATATATATCAAATAGCAATTGGCAATTCCGGATACGGAAGGTTCCCCTATAAAGTACGTGAGGCGGTCAAAAACAAACTTGTGCTATAAATAACCCCATCGGATAAGAGAAAGGTACGCAGTCAGCCATTTTATATTCAATAAAAAATGAGATAAACTAAATTGTCTTGCGATATAGTCGGAATTTATGTAACAAGTGCTTTAACAACGACATGTGCTTTGGAAATTAAGGCGAAATATTTGGTTTTGTCACAAACGAAAAAATTGAATAATTATTCTTCAACATAATATTAGTATTACTATTTTATAGAATTAGCGTCTGTCACACAGTTTAAATGTAACTAGTATAGACGTTAATGATCCCTATCTTAATACAGCTCCTATTATTAAATGTAATTTTTTCGTGAAGATACCATGAGCATTGTTAAAGACACAATAAAGTTATTTATTATTTATTATTATTTAAAAATGAGAAGACTCCGCTTTAATACAGTTTTAAACACCATTTCATCTTATTTATTAGATTAAAGAACTACCTAGTTTTTATGTCTGACCCTGGAAATAAATAAAATAAGACTATATTAACAGCTTTATTGTCGCTAGTCTTCTGAAATGTCCCACATGACCACATTTCAATGTTAGCAACTCCACTCAACCTCATCATAGAAACCTTTTTCATCTGACCGAATGTATAACATTGGCTAATCGAAAAATAAATTCCGCGTCACTGTGCTCGGCCACTCTGTAAAGTTTTTATTCCCTCGGATAAGGGTCGCCCGCTTATGTAGAGATTAAAAGACATTATTTACCCCTGTACGCGTAACCAACCGTCAAAGTTTTATATTTCTGACAGGGGACCAAAACCGCCCCTTTGAACATGTGTTCAGCGGACGTATAAATGTGTTCGCACGATTCACTCCAAATGCCACCTGTATTATCCTAAGTAATTATGACTTTGTGAAAATTTAAACAGCTCTCAACAGTCTTGGGGAAGGAACAGCTGCGATAATTTTGTCTCGGTGTAGTTGGGGATTTATAGCGATGTGAAACCATATTCGTGATAATGACCAGGGGAGGGTCGAAGTGACCTCTAAGGTTATGTTCGGTCGGAATAGGCACTGGTGTAGAAGGACCTTTCTGGCAAGCGATACTGAATCTTTTATTAGTTTTGTGAATGGAAGGCTAGTTGACATAACCATCGCCGACATCTGTTGTGATATCTCGCCGTCTTCCCAGGGTGGAATCGATCTTGGGACCGGGCTCTTCCCGTGAATTCCGGAATATGTAACGGAATGAATTGAATCCGGATACCCACGTTACAAGAAAAGAGATCTATAAAACCGTAATTTTTTTCGTGATTGATTGGAAACATATTATTATTTTCCTTTGCTGAGTACGAATACAATGTTTGCGGCTCAGAGTCTCGTTGTAAGCCG